TTTCCCAGGCTCATTATTAGCAGGAAGCTGGATTGGAAGCAGAGCAACCAGGACTCCAGCAGGTGCTAGGATGCTGGCATCACAGGTGGCAGTTTAACCCACTGTGCCACAACACCAGCTTTACCATGTAAAAAGCTCCAACACCCTGCTTCCTGCTCATGATATAATTGTTCCTCTGTACCTTCTCCACTAATGGGGCCTCCTGATCCTGATCTGTGACCCTCCAAATTGGTAGATGGAGGCTGTACTGTTCCAGTTGGCCACTCTCCTACAGGATGACCAGATACCACCTGGAATGAAACAGGCTGCAAGCCTGCTGTGAATTCATTGCAGGACTCGGGTCTCACTTAGGGATTCTTCCTCCTCCTCTTGCCTCCACTTCCTACCGTTTTCTTTTATTCCCATTTACAGGTGAAACTGACCAGAGCCCCGGGAGTAAATGCTTTTCTTTGGCTTCCTCCTTGCTTCCTTTCAGGCCCTGTACCTTGGTTCCTAATTGTCACTTGAAATCAAGAGGACTACAATAAATTTCTGTATTTTTGGTTTATTAAAACAACAAACACAGGTCATGTTTGTTTTAATAACAAACTGTCATTAATATTTTCATAGATTTGAGATTATATTGCCTACCTAAAACAAGAGCAAGGATGCAATAAAAAGAATGATCAGAAATATGAGGACATTTTGAGAATGAAAAATGTATGATTGGCAAAATACAAATTTCACTAGCAGGATTGAAGGTAGAGTTAAGAAAACATCCCAGAAAGCAGATTGTGAGGGGGAAAGTGGCAGTCCTTATTCCACTTGATAGTACTTTATGTAGATTCTATCATGGTTCCCTTTATTATTGGTCTCCCTGAGGGAACTAAAGGGGGTAGATGCAACAGTTTGGTGCAAAGACCAACCTTAAAGAGGGGGACACCCTTTTTCTGTGCATGGTGAAAAAAATAGGTGCCAGTGCAGAGACCCACGAGGTTTGAGTGATGGAAATGGAAGAAGTTCTTTGTTAATGGCTTCTATTTTCTCCATGAAATACGAACACTGGCATTTGTTGAGGTAGTGATTGAGTGTGGAGGTTGAGTGGATGTTGGTAGGGAACTTTGAGGAGAATGAAGATTTTTTTTTTTTTGAAAGAGCCTGAATGAAGGGTGAAAAAAAATCTGCTTAAGAAAACAAATGATTGCGAAGCCGCTGGGGAAATGCAGGTGAGCTGGAGGCCCACACCAGTAGGTCGTGGAAAGTAGATGCTCCAGTCAGAGCCAGAGTGAGAGATCACTGCAGTGGAAGAGATGAGCGAGTCCTAAATGAAAAGGCGCTTAGGTTCTTCTGAGAAGAGAGCTATATAAAGGAAAACTAGAAAAACATCCTCCTCTGAGTCATAGGTATCATTTCCATCAGCTTCTCAGTCCTGCTTGTTTCCCTTGGATGTTTACAGAAGGACATGTGATTACACAGGGGAAAGGTAAAGGGTGCAATAAACCAGGGGTGCAGAGAGGGAATGGCAGAAGGAAGAGCCGGAGCCAGGGGAGAAATCTGTGACCCCGGCGGAGAGCCGGCAGTCAGGGAAAGGGCTTCCGTGGCATTTTCTTCGCGGTTTGTTTAGTCTTGGGCACAGAAACTTGCTGAGGGGCTCAGGCATGTGACTGCCTTCACTGCTCTATCTTCAGCATCTAGAACAGAGCCTGGCACACCATAGGTGAAAATAAATATTTGGTGATGAATGGCGTCCACAGTACAATCGCTGGCTTTTTTAGGTGGTTGGCACACAGATCTTCTCTTCTCCCCTTCCTCTACAAAAAGTTTTCAGTGATTGGGCCTGCTGGGGCCTTTTCAAAAGACAAATAGTCCTACTGCTGCTTCAAGGAGCCCACCGCCCACCTCCCAGTCAGAACTGCGTCTTTCTGTTCTTGCTGGAAAGAGGCACAGCTTGCTTCACAAGAAACTTGCATAGGAAATGGTGCAATCTGGGCTGTTTTTCATCCTCCTTCAACCTCATTTCCTAAGTTAAAGCAAGAGAAATTTAAGGAATCTTAGGAATATGAAACTTCTCCGGAATGATCTTTATTGAGCTTGTGTTTGGAACCAGCTGAAATCCTGAAGGGCTGTCAAGCCAGCCAAGAATAAAAGAAAATGAGAAATAACTTAAACAATCCTCGCCAAAGTCTGAAAAAGATATCTAGAGCAGCTGCTATTTTTTTTCTTTTCCCAGAATGGTTTGCCTTTCCCCCAGTTTGTAATTATTGCAGGATTGTGTTAGATTATTTTAGGGTAGGAAAGGAGAAAGGAGGAGGGATTCAGGGTTTTGGAAAGAGTATGGTGTGGTTAGTTGTGGCCTTTAAGCTTTATAATTAACGTAGCTGTGGTGCACATTCTCACTCCCTCTCCTATTGGGATGCCACTGACCTGTAAGTAAAGTTTGTATTCATGGTCTTTTCTTAAGCAGTTTGTTCATGGTGCTTGGGTTCCCTCCTTCATCCCTTCCCTCCCAATTCAGTCTTTGTGGTCTGTGGATCATCTTACCAGGGCTTCATCTGAGGGGTGAAGGACCATTTTGTCTGCCCTACATTTATCCAAAAAGAGTGCAAGAAAAACTGTATGTGGTCTGCCAGATGGTCAGGGAACCCTCTGCTGCACTCAGAATTTTCCAGCCGTGGATCCCCAGCTTGCCCTTGTGCTGTGAGCAGTGCGTGAAGGCGACAAGCATTTCCTTGGAAATCTCCACCTACCCTCTACCCTGACTGGCTTGGCTGGTTACAAAGGCACCAAGAGGATGGGAGGAGGCAATCTGTAGAATGAGACTGCTAGCACTGTCATTCCTACCCCATTGTGATTTTAACTGCTACACAACTGAGCTAGATACAAGAAAAGAACTCAAACTGACTTCCCCTTGGTTGGCCTGAGTGAATATTGAGCCCAGACTAAAGCACAGAATTGGTGTACTCTGGCCTAGCCCAAGGCACAGTTGGCTGAGTCATGCTACACCAGGAATGCAGCTAGTCTGGAATGTAAAACAGGGGCCCAGATGCCTGACACAGAGCAGGAATTTAGACAGGGGAAGGCCTTTTCCTAAGGTACTGAAAATCTACCTACATTTATAAGTGATCTTAAAAACAAGTCACATAATACAAGTACATAAACATTTTTTCTTTTTAAAAATTTATTTATTTGACAGGTAGAGTGACATATATATATATATAGAGAGAGAGAGAGAGAGAGAGAGGGAGAGGGAGGAGGTGGAGGTGAGGGTGGGTGGGGTGAGGAGATCTTCCACTTCCCAAATGACTGCAATAGCCAAATCTGGGCCAGGCTGAGGCCTGTAGCCAGAACTCCATCTGGGTCTCCCACATGGGTGGCAAGTTCTTGGACCATCCTCCACTGCTTTCCAAGGTGCATTAGCAGGGAGCTGGATGGGAGGGGGAGTAGCTGGGACTTAAACCATGCTGTGACATGGGATGCTGGCATCACATGCAGTTGCTTAACCCACTGTGCCACAACAGCAGACTCATAAGCATTCTTTTTCTTCCTACCCTCCTCTCACTTTCATTTCAGGTTCCTCCTTAGAAGCAAATGCTCTTTTCTTTTTTTTTTTTTTTAACTTTTATTTAATGAATATAAATTTCCAAAGTACAGCTTATGGATTACAATGGCTTCCCCCCATAACGTCCCTCCCACCCGCAACCCTCCCCTTTCCCACTCCCTCTCCCCTTCCATTCACATCATGATTCATTTTCGATTCTCTTTATATACAGAAGATCAGTTTAGCATACATTAAGTAAAGATTTCAACAGTTTGCTCCCACACAGAAACACAAGTGAAAAATACTGTTTGAGTACTAGTTATAGCATTAAATCTCAATGTACAGCACACTAAGGACAAAGATCCTACATGAGGAGTAAGTGTACAGTGACTCCTGTTGTTGACTTAACAAATTGACACTCTTGTTTATGGCCTCAGTAATCACCCAAGGCTCTTGTCATGAGCTGCCAAGGCTATGGAAGCCCCCTGAGTTCACTGACTCTGATCATATTTAGACAAGGCCATGGTCAAAGTGGAAGTTCTCTCCTCCCTTCAGGGAAAGGTACCTCCTTCTTTGATGGCCCGTTCTATCCACTGGGATCTCACTCGCGGAGATCTTTCATTTAGGTTTTTGTTTCCCCCCAGAGTGTCTTGGCTTTCCATGCCTGAAATACTCTCATGGGCATTTCAGCCGGATCCGCATGCCTTAAGGGCTGATTCTGAGGCCAGAGTGCTGTTTAGGACATCTGCCATTCTATGGGTCTGCTGTGTGTCTCACTTCCCATGTTGGATCGTTCTCTCCCTTTTTTATTCTATCAGCTAGTGCAAATGCTCTTTTCAACTTGTGGAGTGCATGCTTTTTTCTTTTCAGATATTTATATATCTGTATTATTTATCTTCATTTATATGTGTACATTGTATATATAAATCTGTACATGTGTGGGTATGTATGTATCTAGCTAGATAGCTATCATCTATCTCCGTCGTCGCCACGTTGGGACAGATGGACCGGTTGCCCGGGAGAACGCGTCTGCTATGTGGGTCTGGCTGCACCGCGCTGCCCCTGTTGACTGCTCCCTGTCACCCACTGTGTTCCCTTTGCCTCACACTTCCATCGAGGCTCTAGGATTTGCACATAGCTGCCCAGCCTGGTGGAAGGAGGTGTGCGTGAGTGTGCGTGTGTGTGTGTGTGTGTCCTGTCACTCTGTGGCGGTGGGATGGGATTGTGCTACACCGGAAACTCGGGGGCTCACTTCCATGGTGACTTCTTTCCTGATTATATTTTGTGTTGCTTTTTCTCTGTTCCCTCCCTGCTTTAATAATCGGTGAGCCAGTGTCTGGGAGAGTGGCTGAGGGGCCGTGTGCAGTGCAGGCCGCATGGCGGGAACCGCTGCCTCGAGCCTTGCTCCCGGCATGTCGCCGAGGTGGCGCCGTGGACCGGCCCCGTAGCCAGAGCTGGCCCACTGCCTGTTTTCTCTTTTTAGACACAACAGCCACGGTTTGGGCCCTGAGTCCCACCAGCCGAGCCCTGAGGAGAGCAGGGTGCCTCGTTCCCCTTGTGCGGGCGCCCAGCCTGCAAAGCTGCTCCGGCTCCTTGGTGTGTGTTTGCAATAAATCTGTATTTAAGCAAATCTGTATTTGACTTTAACCTAAATGGTATCAAATGGTGTGAACTGTTCTTCAACTTGTTTTTATTTATTTATTTTTTTGATTTTTTTAAAGATTTATTTATTTGTTTGAAAGGCAGAGTTACAAAGAGGCAGAATCAGAGAGAGAGAGAGAGAGAGAGAGAGAGAGAGAGAGGTCCTCCATCCACTGGTTTACTCCCCCAAGATGGCCACAACAGCCAGAGCTGCGCCGATCTGAAGCCAGGAGCCAGAAGCTTCCTCTGAGTCTCCACACAGGTGCAGGGCCCCAAGGACTTGGACCGTCTTCTACTGCTTTCGAAGGTCATATCAGAGAGTTGGATTGGAAATGGAGCAGCCGGGACTTGAACCGGAGCCCATATGGGATGCCAGCACTGCAGGTTATGGCTTTACTCCCTATGCCACAGCACCAGCCGCATTTATTTATTTTTAATTTAGCCAAGTCTCTTGGGTATTTTTCTGTGCCAGAATGTTCTAATTCTTTTTAATGGCTGCATACCTTTTCATGACTCAGATTCATCATTGTTGGCCTACTGTTCCTCTTTTAATGATCATTTAGGTTTCTATCCTATCAGTTTTTACTGCTACAAGTAGTGCAACAGTGAATAACCTTGTTTGTACCTGCTTATTTTTTCCACATACACAAGTATCTCTTTAGAGTAGAAACAAGTTGTGGAATTATTGAATTAAAAAATACATGCATCTAAAGTGTGATAGATTACTGCCTGATTTGTTCTCCAAAAACCTCACCTGTCTCCTTACATGCTTGCCAACATTTGATATTAATCTTTCTTGTTTATAGCCAATCCAGTGTATGAAAAATCATTTCTGCCTTCCTTTTATTTGCATTTGGCCCAAAACTGACTGGTGAGACTGAGCATTTTTTTCAGATGCTTGTGAATTTCCTGTTCCTATTCTTTTCCTATGTTTCAATTTTCTTTGCTCTTTTCTTGTGGATGTATTGTCAGACATATTTTTAGATATCAGTGACTGGGGAAGAGCTACAAGATGCTCCTTCAGGGGTGACACAAAGGATCCTACTCTCCACTGGTCCCCACCCAAGATTACGCACTCAGCGATTTAACTTCAGGTTAAAGTATCCTGATCAAATGGGAGCTCAGCCAAACCAGAAGAGCCCAGTTTATAGCCATATGTGCACAGAGCCCAAAGCTGTGAAACTCCCAGATGTCAATCACAAATACAAATTGTGAGCATCAGAGCCACATCACTAGTCAATGCCATCCATCCCTTAGGGATAAAAGCCTCAAACCAGGAAAAGAGAGTGCTACGTGCTCTCTCAACTGGCCTGTTCATCTCTTGGGACGTACTTTAATAAACTTTGCTTTACTATCCCTGCTGTTATCTCTCTGAACTGTAAGTCATTACTCCCTTGGCCAAGAGAAAATTGGGGCAAACCAGCCACTGCTGATAACAGAATGAGAGCAGGTCCTTTGCTATAAATGTTACAACACTTTCACCCAGTTTTTCTCTTGTTTATAGTTTCTTGAACAGAGTTAAAATTTTGTTACAGAATAATGTGTTAATCCTTTTCTTTATGACTTTGGTATTTTGCATGTGTTTGAGGTGGTCTTTCTTACCCTCACAGTCATAAACATGATCCTGTGCTAATTATGGGTGAGCAAAAAATTTGAATGAGATATTTTGGTACTGGCCTAAGCCCCCATCATCTTGTGTCTGAGTTACTGCATAGCCTCCTTGCTGGACTCCCTGCCTCTTTCATTGCTCCTTTATAGTCTGTTCTCAGTACATTAATCAGAGTGATGCCTTTAAAAATTTAGTCAAATAATGCCAGTTCTCTGAATCAAATTATCCACTGCTTTTCATGTCACTTCAAGTAAAACCCAAAGTGATTGCAATGGTACCATATGCACCCTTGCACCCCATTACTTTTCTGGCCTCACTTCCTACTACTCTCACCCTGTGTTTGACACATATAGTAGGTTCTCAATAAATATTGGAAAAATTCAAAAGTAAATTTGATCCCAATTTGTTTGAGGCAAAAAGTCTAAAAAGTGTTGGAATGGTATGGGGACATAGATGCTGTCATACACTGCTGAGCAGAGTGTAAATTTGTACAAATGTTTGCAATCTGTAAGTCCTTAAGGATGAGCCTATCCTTCTCCTTGACAGTTCCTCTTCTAAGTACCCATCCAAGAAAGATTTGCTTATGTGTACCCAAGGAGATTGTATGAAAATGTTTATTGCAGGCTTGTTTTTAATGGGGTGGAGGAAGATGGGCGCGGGAAGGAAATAAGGAATGAAGAAATGATGATAGGACCAAGCATGCTTATCAAGTAGATAATTTGCTAATACATGGTCACTTTTGTAGAATGTCTTTTCTGATTTTGTTGAAGTTTTTTGGAAAGCAGTAGAAGATGACCCAAGTTCTTGGGCCCCTACACCCATGTGGGAAACCTGGAAGAAGCTCCTGGCTTTACATTGGTGCAGCTCTGGCCATTGTGGCCATCTGGGGGAGTGAACCATCGGATGGAAGACCTCTCTCTCTGTCTCTACCACTCTCTGTAGCTCTATATTTCAATTAAATAAATCTTTAAAAAAATAAAGTTTGACAGAATTCATTTGGGTCTGTTATTTATTTATTTATGGGGACTATTTTCCGATTGATATTTGATCTCTCTTTCTCTACATATAATTATATATATTTACTTATCTATTCAGAATCCGTATTTATTTTTGAGATTATTTAAATTATTTGAATGCATCATCCATGTATTCAAATTTATTAGTATAAGGTTTTTAAAATAATATTTTCTTTAGAATTAAAACTTAAAAATATGTACTTTTAAATTGAAGTCTTTTTTTTTTAATTTGACAGATAGAGTTATAGACAGTGAGAGAGACAGAGAGAAAGGTCTTCCTTCCGTTGGTTCACTCCCCAAATGGCCACTACAGCCGGCACTGCGCCGATCCAAAGCCAGGAGCCAGGTGCTTCTACCTGGTCCCCCATGCAGGTTCAGGCGCCCAAGCACTTGGGCCATCCTCCACTGCCTTCCCAGGCCACAGCAGAGAGCTGGACTGGAAGAGGAGCAGCCGGGACTAGAACCCGGCACCCATATGGGATGCTGGCACCGCAGGTGAGCCATGGCGCTGGCCCCAAATTGAAGTCTTATGTTCCTTTCTATTATTTTTGTGTCTTCTCTATTTCTTAAACAATCTTAATAGAAGTTTATCAGTTTTATTAGTTTTTCCAAGTGCTAACTTTTGGTTTTGCTGTTCACCTCCAAAGTGTGTGTCTTTAATTAATCTTGCAACATGACTTTATTAATTTCTTCTTTATTTGAGTTTATACAAACATTCTTCATTAACTTCTCCAATTGGATACTTAATTGTTGCCAATCTATTTTTTCTTTTCTAAAAATAAATGAGTATGTTCATCATCAAACACCCTGCACTGTCTTCATCAGTCACTCCTACTAGTATTCTGCTGAGGCTTCTCCATTATTGTACAGGTATGTCTCTTGCCTCCATGTGGTATGTTTGTTCTGAGTCAATTTATCAATATAGGGCTATCTTCCAATTTCCAGTCCTGATTGTGTTCACTGTAGAGTTCATCCACCCACTGTTTTCTTTTTTAAAAATTTCACTGACTGTATTTTTAATTATCATGATTTTATGTGTTTTTTCATAATCATTCATGGTTGTTTCATTTCTTTTTTTAAAATAGCTGTGTATGAATGTTACTACTCTGCTTAATTCATTTGAAAAGCTTCAATAGACTCACTTTAAAGAAGTAATTGTCAGATACTCAATTATTTTCTTTTCATCTGGTGTGAATTCTCCACATTGTTGCTTCTATTTTTGGCTATCTTTTACAGCATTTTCTCCCTCCTTCCCTTCTTCCCTTTTTTCTCTACCTTCCTTCTTGGCTTAGCCTTCTCTGTCTAACAGTTTTGTGGTTATCTCCTTTTACCTTCTGGGACTCTCTCTAATCCTATAGTACTATGGATTCAGTTCCTTCCCCAGGGTCAAATTCTAGCAGTGAGACTATGCCTGACTCTTCCTTCTTCTATATGTATTCAGGTTTGTGCAAGCCTGTTCTTTTTTTCTTCTTCTTCTTCTTTTTTAAAGATATATTTATTTAATTTGAAAGTCAGAATTACAGAGAGGAGAAAGGGAGACACACACACACACACACAGGTCCCCCACATGGCTGCAGGAGCCCAAGCACTTGAGCTGTCTTCCATGGCTTTCCCAGGCCGTTAGCAGAGAGCTGGATCCAAAGAGGCGCAACTGGGACTCGAACCAGCAGCCATATGGGATGCCAGCTGTATCACAGCACCAGCCCTGGAGTCCTTGTTTTTAGATAAGGCTGTCTGCCTCTCTTCAGGGTACTTAGCTCACACTGTCCTATGTGAGTCCAGACCTTGATTGACTGTTTGCTTTTGATGGAATCCATGTTTAGGTACTTTCCATATAGTTTGTGTTCTACTTCTGGGTTACAGAGATGTTTCTGAGTGCAAACATGCCTGACACTTCTGTCATTTTAAGTTTCATCTGTGATCACTATCCTATGTGATTAGCATGGTTCTCAAAGCACCATCTTGTCTTGAAGTCTCTGCTCTTTTGCTTCTGCTTGTAATACACATTCCTCTCTGACCTTCCACTTGCAAACGATTCTTTTCACGGTTACCACTGTTGTTTCCCAATCACCAGATGAAACAGCTTTTACTTTCACTCCCAGGAGGCATCAACAGTTTTGCCTGCTCTTCCTTTACTTTCTCTCTGTTTGGTAGATAGATGCTGCCCTGTCCTGGCTCATTCCCTCTTCTCGCTTTGACTTTGCTTTAAAATTGTTCTTCCTTCTTCCTCCCCTTTCGTAGCTGTGGATGTCCCACAAGGCTAAGTCCTCTGCTCTATGGTTTTCTCCCTTTTTCCACTTAATTTTGTGCATTCTCGTGTTTTCAGTAAT